TTGTTTAGGTTGGACAAATTCTACGAACTATGGGACAGGCTTTTGAAGAGCGTGATCTAAAACAACTCATTAAAGAATTCGACACTGATGGTATGTTTTAGATATGCTTGCTGGATTTGGTACATGTCTATGCAATTACAGGTTCCGGAGAGATCGAGTTTGAAGAATTCGCCGCTATGGTGGCCAACTTCGTCGTAAACAGTGAGGACAATGAAGGTCTTGAGGAAGAACTACGCGAGGCTTTCCGACTTTATGACAAACAAGTGAGAAATGGCTACAATTTTTTCCATTTCTTGTTTTTAAGCCATAGTAACGCAAAACGGCTAATATAGTAACTTTACTATAAAAATCAACTAGAAACTATTAATTTGGAAATACCTTTTACATAGAAGAACCGCTTCTTGAATGTGCTCCGAAAGAATATTGCTGCCCTCATTTCTTAGAACGTTTTATTTTAATAGCGAAGCATCCAAAGTGTCTGTGTACAGAAAGTTGTAAATATGTTGGTATACTGTAACACGACTCGGCGCGCGCAAAAAAGCAAAGCGAGAAAGAAGGGATGACGAATTATTCACTGCTATAGGGCACACCCTTGTGGACAATTGTTCCATCTTCATACTTTTCACATAGTGTTACATGCCATTTTCTTCTATGTAGTAGATTTATATGTTTTAGCTTATTCTGAGGTTTTTCATCAATCACTGCGTATTCGTCTACTAGCTATAGGGTTACGACCTTGAAGTGATCAGTAATTGCAGGAACGGAACCAGTTGGTGGCAAATAGTTTTCTGCTCGAGAGTTTTTCAGAGTATCGGCAAACACAGTAAATCTTGACGGTACAACACTTTTGCATAATTAGCTGATAGTTAGCAATAATTTTATGTTTCAGAGTAACGATGTAAAGTGTGATTACTGCTGTTAGGTCTTCCTTGTATCAGTGATGAATCAAAGCTAAAACTAAGCCAGTTTTTACACCTGAAAAGATTTGAGCTATCCGGCTTCTCACGGTTCTAACCTTTTGGGTAACTTCTTTCTTTTATGAATTTTAGTTTTGTAGAGATTCCACCATTTTGTCTCCGGGGATTACAAGAAAAGCCAATCTTCTGAAACCAACGGATATCTTGCGAGTAACAGTCTATGGCGTTTATATTATCTGCCCTAATTTGAATGCATTTGTACAAAGTTCGCTTCGTGTCGCTTCGGAAGTTTGCATTTAGAGCACTATGTAGGGTACCCGAAAATACAAAAATCATGTCTAAATGTAGATAGATAGGTTGTAAGAGCAAATGGATGAGCTCCTACTTTTAAGCTGCAGCAAAGTGCTTAGAGTTATTCAAAGCCATTCGTTAGTAGCCCTTATTTGAAAATGTATTGTCCTCACGCACATATAAAAGTCTGCAAAGTTTCAAGGATAATTGGCATCTATTTTATTGAAGTGCTGGAGAAATGAAGCGAGATGGCTGAATTGGGATTGGTTTAGAACAAACATATACAGTTAGTATCGAATTAGTTTATCATTAACTTACTGTTCTAAAAAATCAGGAAACGTAGACCGAAACGTTACCTTTCCTACTTCAGTCTAATATTATTTGTACGTAGAGTTTTTCACAACTTTAATATGAAATTTTTATTCTAAGTACTCTCATGTAA